CTGAATATGTACAGCTGGCTGCTCTATGCCTGGTCCTTGGGATATAAAAGTCTTCTGCAGCCCCAGCTTGGTTTCCTAGTTCTTATCTGCAGAAGCACCTGCATTTTTGGTGCTTAGTGGCTGTTCTGTTGGTATGTCGGTCATCATCTATTGTCATTTTATGTTTGCTAGGATGAGGTAATCAGAGTAATATCATTAGTGAAAAATAAATGACTGAAGTTTGTATTTCAGATACAGTTATGCATTTGATGCTGGTGGTATAATGCATCAGAAGATGCAGACTGAGGTATTGCACTAGCTGTAGGATATGGATCAAGAACTTTTTATGTTGTATTCCTACTGAATTGTTATGAAGCTCTGGACCAGTGATTCCCAGTCAGGGGGCCATGGCGTGGTGCAAGAGCCTTTTAAGGGGTGCTGCAAGGTGCCATGCAATATTAGCACTGCTATGTGTGTAGTTACCTACACCATGTGCAAGATGAAATCCAGAGATTTCAAACAGGAATTCCAAAAACTTTTCTGACTGGTTGTGGTTTTTGTGAGTGCTTTGAAACAGAGTAATTGCTCTGTTATTTTTTTGTAGTAAAAAAATGAGTGAAAGCTAAGAGCTGGCATTTTCCAGCAGGCACCTTGGGTCTAATGAAAGGTGGTTTGAGTCTAAAAAGGTTGAGAACCATTGCTCTGGGCAAATCACTTCAACTCTGTGTCAGGTTCCCAATGAGTAAAATAATGATTATAACACTCAGCTACCTCAGGGAGGTTGTGAGTATTAATGAACTGTGAACTTTGTGCCTCTGTGCAGTGCTCTGAAGGTGTGAAGCATGGAGTGTATTTTTATTCAATTTAAACTAATTTATAAAGAAAAAGATTTATCTTTCCTGTCATCTGTAGCTATCCTGGTTTATATTTCTGCTTTAAGATAGGAATTGCATCGGGGAAGTTTTAGGATCTATAGAAGCAAGTATCTGCCTGATATTCCCGTATGCCTTGCATGGTACAGCACAGAATACAAAATTATAGTTCTCTGCTGACAGGAAGATAAGGTGCATTGTATTCATTCTTGTTATGTACCCTTTCTTTTATGTACTGTGTATACACAGTATTAACTCCATGTTTGTAATTTTATACGGATAAGATGCATATTCTTTGTAATCCAGCAAGTAGTGGAGCTATTTATGGAGGATGATGGACCTTAGCATCATGGACTGCTATTTTGTCCTGGTGCAAGGAAATAAACCTTTTTGTATCCATACACTTTACAAATAGTGCTTCCAAGGAGTATACACAACAGTGTCTCATAAAACTGCTATATTGGCTACCAATTTTTGCAGCTATCTTGCTTAGTTGATCATTAGGTTTTTGTGCAATGAAGTGTTGAAATCAAAGATCACTGTAGAGAGAATGGAATCAGCTTCAGAAGCAGAGAATGAAATCTCTGGCAATTTTATGATTATACCTTAGGTACATCAAGGGAAGCATTTGGGGAAACTGTCTATGCATGGAGTGCTGCTTTTTAAGATACAGTAAAGCACTACTGAACACAATACCTCCCATTTTTAAATCTGCAGAAGAATTTCTGTTTAAGGCCCTTTGCTTATACCTTCCCTGGGTTGAAACTATCAGACTTGATTTCTTTCTTTCTTCACATCTCACAATACTGCTTATGTGGTACGTGGGAAGTGTGTGTGTGTGTTGAAAAATTAAGAGTTTTTTTGTTTTTGTTTTCAGAGCTGGTTTCCAAGATATGCATAAGGATTTTCACTACTGTTAACTATTGTAGTATAAAATGAAACCCCCCCCCCAACTTTGTACATCAGTCTAAAGAGAAAGGGTTGGGAAATATGTTTGCAATTGTTTTGGTAAGCAAGGCCAAAACAATGGTAAATGTTCAATAATGTATTCAAATTTTCTCTTCTGAACTCTTTCCTGCTAGATGTAATATGTTTCCCATGTATAGCAGGCAAAGAATTTGACCCACACAGTATTTTTTTTGAGATTTCTGTTTGAAAATAAATGGAAATATTAATCTCCAAGTATATATTTAATATGAAATCCATTCTTGTACAGTGGTATCGCAGTGCCTCTGGTTTAGGTGAGTAGAGATCACTGTTTCTGTCTTTACTGGGATAAAACTCTCTATGGCTTTTACCTAAATTAGGACTGCAGGAATTGATCTTGAACTGCATAAAGAATAATAGTTAGAACTGCCATGTTTCTTGGTTTGGGGAATTAACTTGCTTTGTAGACTAATGTTTCATTATTTTAAATTTAACTTTCTACCTCGGTGGTGTGCAAAATGAAGTTTTACTTCAATATACTGATTGCCACATGTATTAAATATTGATTTTTTTTTTTTGTATAGTTTACACTGTTGTAACAGTTAACTGGGCCATTGGCCCTATGGACCATATTTGGGTTCTGTTCAAGGGTAGGTATTGCTTTGGAAGAAAAAAAAAGTACAGTATGTAAATTAGAATTGATTTAACATAAGTTTGGGTAGGTGTCACAAACAGAATTCTTTCTCGCTCCTCCCATGTTTCTGGATTCCTGTAGAAAACTTGTGAAAGAAAATGTTTCTGTTGCATAAAAATAAGTTTAATATCAAACTCATATGCATTTACTTTAAAAAAAAAATACCGTATTTGTGTTAGTACACAGTGTGCAATTAGCTGACACTTTGTGCCAGAGTCAGTAGCTCCCGGGCACAGTGTATACGTGTGTGTCCAGGACCACAGCAATTTGAGCTGGGGCGGAGCAGCCCCAAGCTGGCAGCAGGTTTGGGGGGGTCAGCCCTGGGCTCTGGACTGTGGCATCAGTCAGTGGAAGGGCTGGCTGGGGCCTGCATGTGGCCCCCTGAAGCTGCAGGTGGTCCTTGCACGGTAGCATTCTGGTGTCCCAGCCAGCCCCGGTCACTGTCTACACATGTGTTGAGCTGGGTGTAAATTACTCTACTGTAAGTAGTTCTTGTCATGGACAGTATTATCCTATGGCAGAGTTAATGAATTTACTGTGCCCTAATACAGGCGCACATGTAGCCGCACCCCGTAAAACTCAGTTCTGGAAGGGGTTGAGCAGCCTGGATTCCATTTTGAAAAGCACTTATTAGCTCTGCTGAGCCTAATCAGTTAAAAGTTAAGTAGATTCTTGAATGGTTGGTGAACTAGTGCTGTAGTGGTCAACCCGTTGCAAGATCGATCTTCACAGTTGTTAAAATGATATTTAAAGTATTTATGTGAAACAAGGTTACATTATAGCAAATGCATTATAAAGGTCTGTCTTCTCCGTTAATGGCAAATTCAGCATTGCAACTGTCTTTAAAGATAAGTTTGTACAAAACTGTTTCCAAAACAGAAATTTCTATGTGAACAGTCATTATAACTGCTAATGTAAATAAAGACAACAAGAGATTTTAACAATATAAACACTAAAATATATCATTATTGTTCTTGTTATTTACCATCAACTGTGTGCTTAATGCAGTGCAAAGCAAAAAATTAAGATAGCCTGTGTCCTACAGAGTTAACCATCTAGAACATAAGCCTGGGAGAAAAAAGGGCATATTGCAAAGCTCATAGAAGTATCAGTGATTTGAAAAGTGTTTGCATTTGTTATTAGGGAATGATTCTGTTGTAGGGGATGTTGAAGGAAGGATTTGAACGGGAACTAAACTGTTGAAAATTTAAACGAGTAGGAGGGTTGTGTAACCCTGTATTTGGCACTGGTGCAGCCACTGTCGGAATGTTGTGTCAAGTTGTGATGCCAAACCTTCAAGGGAGATGTTGAAAACTTGGAGAGGCTTCAGAGAAGATTCACAAAAATCATTAACGGATTAAAAAGCATGCCTTTCAGTGAGAAATTCTGGGAGCTTGACTATATTAAATTATAAAAGAGAAAATTAAGGGATGACTTGAGAGCTCTGTGTAAGCATCTACATGGGCAACAGAAATTTGACAATCAAGGGATTCGTTAGTAGACGTGGTTTTAACAGGAGCTAATGACTGGAAATGGAATGTAGAACATTCACCAATAAAGATTTAAATCTGTATTTAAAAAAAAAGACTAGAAATAAGTAATATTTTCAATGGCAAGGGTATAGGACATTTGGGAAAAGTTGCATAGTGTCATAGGGTTCTTCATCATGAGAAATATTTAAATTAAGGTACACTGTAGTTGAAACGGACATAATTCAGGAAAAACTCATGATCTGTATTATCTATCCTGGCCTCCCTGTATCCCAGTGGTCAATAATTTAAAAAAAAAAAAAAGACAGAAAGTGATTCTTTATTCTTCCTACTGCTGAAACTGGAGCAGGTGAAGCTGAATGACCCTCTAAAAACTTGCAGATAAGCAAAAGATGACTTAATTTGTAGATTGCATGCTAAATATTGAAGAATTGTTATGCTGTGTTCCTAAGTCAAGTTCTTGAAAATGGGAGAATGCTGCCAGACTCAGTTACTGCAATGATGGTATTAATTCCTTGCTTAAAATAAGGAACACAAAAGCTAGATTCATATCTGTTGTCAAGTTTCTACAAAATTTTAACAAAGACGCTTGCAGAAATAGACCTCAGTCGTCTGTTAGTAAGGGGTGGAATTGAAAGCAGGACAAATCAACTTCTTTGGAAGACTCTACTGTAATATAGCTTGTTGCATTCAGCAATTGAAAAATAACATAATTGTAATATTTGTTAGGAGAAATTTGAAGACCCTTCAGAGACTTGAGGAAATTCTACATTACACTTTCTTCTGTAATGGAAAATCAGCAGGAATACTCTGCAGTTTTTGGCTTTCTCAGCTTTTACCTGCCTTTAGCAAACTATGAAAAAGTCTCTGACATGGTGGAAATAGAAGCAGTGTAGGAAGCCATGAAGGAGCCATAAATAAGAATTGTGAATCCTGTTCTTGACACACAAGTTTGACAAGAAGATCAGAAATCAAGTAGAAGTGGAAAGTCAAATAAGGTTTGCCTTCATGTAAACTCTTTTTCTTCTCTTTCCGTTTCAGGATGGTTTTAGTTCTTCTCCAGAGAGAGGCATCCTGATAAAAGGACATGGGCAATCCTTTAATTGGTAAGTGGAACTGACGTTTTTGTGCAAAGCCTTAATGACCTCAAAGCAATGATTAGAGAACTGACCACAGAGGAACATTAATCAGGAGGCCAAAATAATACTGTGGAAAGGTGTTTTGTAGTGTATTTGACAAAAGCCAGCTGTTTGTTGGAACTTTTTTTTAACAGTTTGAAGTGAAAAGAAGACTTGAGGATAGAAGGAGAAATTTCACAAGATTCAAGAATTCTATGGTTCTTCCCTGCCTGATAAAGCTTTTGGTAACGCTGAAGCATTCTTTCTCAGTCAGTGCCCATTTCTGTTGCGCTGGTCATAAGAAAAAAAGCAGGAAAGGATTTGAGAACAGGTGTGTTTTTTGTTGCAACATAGAGAACAAACAGCAAACAAACTGAAGTGCAAGACCTGTAAGCCGTCTCCTGAAAAGAAGCTGCCTAATGAAAAACATGATAGCCTTAAAGACAGTGGATGGTAGGCACATGGTTGTCAATGAAAAAGTCAGGGAATCCTAAACTTATTTGAAATTTTTACAGTGGTTTTTCAGGGGTCAGTTAAACTTGACCTGTAAATTTTAGCAGGTAAGGTAATTAATTAAATTTAGCAGGTAAGGTAATTAAATTCTTGCAACTGGGTGGACATATTGAGGGTTACCGTAAGTATGGCTGCACACGATATTAGATAGTAAAGGCAGGGTCAGTGGTATGAAGAGTTGCTCTGGCAAACCTGTAACAAGGCATCTATATAACATAATCAGTGAGGAATAGGATTTTCATTTGAAGAACACCATGCACTTATTGGCAGTTTCCAGGTGGACCTGTGTATATTTAGTTGCTTGTTTTATAGCTCTTGCTCTACAGGTGAACATGCTAAATACTGCAGAGTTATTTGGCCATATGCTTCTGTTTTTATAGTGGTTTATTTTGCAGGCTCTTCATATAAATAGAATCATTCTGTTCCACCAAGAGTGTGACTGTTTGGTGGTGAGGAGAAGAGAAAGGAATGTTGTTATTTCAAACATTATACCTTTTGCAAGAGAGCAGATGGTGTTTGTATATAGGGCTTCAAGTAAGTTTTCCATTCTGCTGAAGCTACAACATTCCTCCAGATTGAGTAAAAGAAATTAGTGATTTTAGATCTCCCTGAATGTACCAGGTTGCATTACAGTTGATGCCAGCATGTTTAAAATCAACAAATGTATATTAACATCTTACTGACTTTTTTGAAAACTTTTTCCTGTTTTTTTTTTAATGATACTAGTTTCGCATAATATAGTTGGGTCCCTAGTGTGGATGGAAGAAGTGATGCTTGCTTTAAAATTTGCTGGGTACATGGTACTTTGGCAGAAAGACAAAGAAATAAATCAAGCATCTAATCTAATTACAAAAATTGGAATCTAAATAATTCACCTGTTTCTTGATTGGGAAAAAAAAAATTAAGGACCTCTTCCAAGAAGCCTTTTACTTAATGCAACATGACTCTTTTAGGAGCCTAGAGAGGCAGTGTCTAAGGTCAGATATGCACATTGCAAGCTGAAATAGGTTTATTAAAGCTGACATGAACATATGTAGGAAAATGCTAATTTAAATAAGGAAGGAAACCTGATGGAAATGATTGAATCTATATCCCCAGTGAATTTAAACTGTTTAAACTGGTAATTTTTTTTAAAGGAAAGAAAATTTGTTGAAGTAATCTGTCTGAAGTGGGAAACATTCTGCATCCTTCCCTAAAATGTAGAGGAGGGTGAAAGTTTTCCTGTCCTAAATGTGGTGAAACTGGTGTAGCCCAGGGGAAGTTGTTTAAAAGTAATGTTTTCCTTATATATTGAGTATCCCCATTCATGATTCATTTACATCAGATATTACAGAGGTCTAACTATTGACTTGAAAACCCAGTTTTTCTGTTTGCTTACATTGGTTGACACCAGAAGAATTCTCAGACAGTTTGTGGAGTTTCACCAGTTGTATGGCAGTGTGAGAGGAAAATTAGGCCCAATGTAAAATGATCAGTATTTGAAGAACTAAGGGCATTTGTTGATATTATTGGACCTATGTCTGTGTAAATATAAGTCCTGTTTGACCCATAGGATCCCTGGCTTAATTTGTTCTTTTTAGAATTAGGACTTTTCTACATGCAGTCTTGATACCTTGATACCTGAGATCTGGAACACTGGAAAATTTGAATTGATCTTGGCCCACTTCAACTTCTTTGGGGTCACATAGTGACCCATAAATAGGTCATTGGTGTGGATGTATTGGAATTGTTCAATTAAGAACATGGCATCTGCTATTTTGAGCTTTCGGTGTAACTGTTAATCTGTACCTGGACTGGCCAGTAATGGGGTATGAGGCATTTTTTCTTAGTAAGTTTTGCAGATCTTTGACAGCAGAGGAACACTGAGACCTCAGAACCCTTGTTCCCATGCCAGTTTGGAGAGGAGAAAATACTAGAGCACATGTTAAGCTGTTCCTAATTCCCTCCAGTCTGTCCTTGTGCCAGTGTTGTGTCTACTTATACCCATTCTCTGCTATTATTCTGACAACTTGATCGAAAATTTCAGAATTTTTTGTTGTTGTGGATTTTCAAGGTGAGTTTGGAAACACTGAATTTAATGCATGCTAATTGTGGACAAAATAATACTTTGGTTACAAGATCCTGTTGGAATTCAGACATGGGAACTACATGCTGTCTTTAAATGCTACCAGTATTAAATAGGCCTTTTCTTGAAACATACGCTAACAAAGTGGCATCTATGAGTCACAGAACATCATGCTGGGTGAGAATAAGGGCAATGATTTATATTGTGTTGCTGTCTAAATTAGTTAATTGGGTTTCTGTGGTACCCCTTGTTTAATTTGGCTTTGGAATAACAACATTTCCAGCTTATTTAAGAACTTGCTTCCGATGCAGAGATTTGTTTTGAATAACTTAGCTTCACAGCCATTATTAACATAGAACAAATCTGTGTGAATCCCTATCACTAAAGTTGCCCTCACAAATATTCATGCTAGAGATAATAAAACTGGAGGGAGAAGGAGAATTTTGAAGTGTGATACATTTTTGGTTGCTGTCGAGAATAGAGGAAGAATTGTGTTAGGGACTTCTCTAGAGTATTGCAGTCTCATTGTTACCATGAACTATTGCTATGGGAACCATTACAGAGGAACTACAATATGAAAGAACTTTGTTTTGAGGAGAAAACATACCTATGGGATCCAGTATCTATCTATCTATCTATCTATCTATCTATCTATCTATCTAGCTATATTTTTTCCTACTTCTGCCTGATGTACTAAATAGTATCTAAGACTGATCTTTTTGGAAGCCTATTCAAATATTTGTAGACCAGATCATTTAGGGAGCTTTGAAAATGTCAACAGAAAGTAATTGACATGATTAAGAGGCGTGCTTGCTATAGTAAAGCTTGTTGCTATGCAAAATGCCCTTATTTGCCATCCTGTGCATCAGATGACAGAAAGTGTTCAGCAAGTTGCATAGAAAATATAACTGACACTGGATATTAGGGGTTCGCTTGCTCATATCCTGAAATGGTATATATGAGAAGAAATACAAAATTCTGAAGAAAGTACAGAAGATACATGTGTACCCTGTGCCCGTATTCACATTAGTAAGAAAAGCTATTGCCTCTGTTCTATTTGTAGTAATACAATACCAAACAAGGATAAACATCACTAAATAATTATATAAATGTTTATAGGTAAAAGATGGTTATCTGTTTATCTAGAGTAAGTAAGATACTGATATATGCAATGAAGGATGGTCTTGCTATTTGGCTAAGACATAGCAGCACTGTGGACTCAATGGGTCTGAGTTCAGTTAATGGTTGTGCTACAGTTGCCTTGGGTAAAAAGTCATTTTATTTTTTCATACCTCAGTTTCTTCTAACAACGCATGTTTACCTCATGGGGGAAGTTGACATACACATCTGGAAGCTGGTCCCGTGTTACAGGAACAGGGCTGACTCAACTCCATTTACCTCCTGAAAGAAAGAAACCCTCTTATTTGTGTACTGACTATACAAAGGAATCTGTATTTTGTCATTGAGTGCACGTGCATCTTTTTCTATGACTTCAATAGGAGCAGTAACAGAACTGCAATTCCTGTTCCTAAAGGGAATAGTGTGCAAATGCAGAGATGAGAATGAAACCATTCTTAGTCATTTTAAATATCTCTTGCCATCTATCTGCTGTGGAGAATTCTGTGGTGGTTCTTATGGTCTAAGTATTTTAGCTAAATTGGGCAGTAAGGTGGGAGGAAGTAAGAGTGCACAATATTTTGTCCTACATGGTGAATTGGGGTTGCTGATGTAGAATCTTAAGTCCAAATGCAGTCAACAGAGTTGTAGAAAAAGGAGTTCATTCATTGGGAAGGATTATGATGGCAGGATGCAGCTGAGATGAGATGATGTGGAGAAGGTGAGGGGATATGAGATGTCCAGCTTCAAGACCCCGATTTTATTGGAATCTCATGTGCCAGATGAATACCCTAACCATTAGAATATTAGGGTCATTCTCTCTTTTTCTACTTATTGTACTCTGTTGGAGCTGCTAGACATTATATCAAGTGAGCCAGATAATGTTGGATGTTGTAGCTCAGTGATGAGGGCATTTGCCTAGCATGTAGGATTCCAAGTTCACATTTCTGCTTTCCCTGATTCTGAGCTGGGTCCCAGAGAGACAAAGTTGACTCCTTTCTCTTTTTGGTGCACGTCAATTTCAGACTTTCAACATTTTCATTATAGCAGCTTGTCACTGTCATTGAACTCCTAGGCTAAGTATACAGACAGTCAAAAAACCCAAGGCTGAATCAATCAGTCTTTGCAGGTTTGTCTAAGATGCAGAGACTAAACAGAGAAACAACTGGACATGAATTTACTTTGGTTCAGGAAATGCAGGCACATGCCTGCAGTGGCTCAGGCTAGAATGTGGGGGGTGCTAGAGCATGGCTCTCTCGCATGTAGCCAGCATGTGCTGTGTGTTTGATGCCTC